ACGCAACCTAATAATAGTCTATCCCTATTAATTGAAGTATTAATTGATACAGACTTTTCGTCTTCAGATCCCGTTTATTAAACGTTCAAGAGGAAGTCACTCTTACAGTGTTTTACTAAATTTTTCTTTCGGTGTTAAGACCCGCTTTTCTTAGTTTTTCTGTATTCTCAGTAAACCCCCTTTTTCATTGGTAAATACTCTTTCCATTATTTTTAAGGGATTCTTTTTCAGTATGAAAAGCTTCCTCTGTTTTCAGGCGTTAAGACTCTTTGTTTTTTTCCGTATAAACTCTACGTAACACCCTGTAGCATCAGAATACCCAACGAATGTGTGGTACGATTTGGGAGCTCTAATAGATTGTGCATATTATTTTGTAATATGAAGAAACGGTTCGAGAACACCCCGGGCGTATTTGTACCTTCAGCGCCGGCCTAGACCGGGGGCCCGGGAACTCAAACCTGTGGGGACCAATCTGAGAGAATTGGAGCAGTAAGTGGAAGAATAAACTTGTTAAAGTAAAACACAAAAGCCGCGAAGGATAATGTGCGATAAGACAGGCACATTCCAAGACAACGCGTTCTCCGTATACATACACACAGGAGACGAGAAAGGTTGGAGTTTAGCGGAAAGTCATGTAAAGGAGGACAGGGGGGTAACAAGATTTAGAGAGCCTTACGTGAACTACTTGTGTACCCAAAGTACTAAAGTACACGACATGTCCAACATTTGGGATGTGTATGATGTGGACAACGATTTTCTACAAGGGAAGACCGGGAAGGGAGAGAAAAAGGGAGGCTGGGGTCGATGTGTGAGCGGCGCGAGGTAAGACTCGAAAGACGTAGTGTAGGCCTTTCGAGAAGTGGTTTCACCCGCGACCGTTCCAGCCTGGCAGGGAGGTAGCATTAAGTCGGAGAATTTAAGGTGGATTGACTTGGGACTCGGCAAACCCTTCGCTCTAGTGAAGAGAGAAAAACAAGGTGACAGAACACAGATAAGGGAAGGCACACACCAGAGGATTTACAGGGGAACCACCCAGCGGAAATGTCTTACCTGCAAAGGGAAGGGGCCTTACCGGTTGGGCACAAGGACGGACCTCAAATTCTGCGACGGAAGTCGTGTCGGGGAAGTGATGACCCGGTCGTTGGCGTGTACGAACGTCTAGTAGTCGGGGCTAGTTTGTACAAGTGTTATGTGTAGGGAGGCTGTAATATAATACATTATACAATATACATTTATATATGTATTTTTATATAGTCTTAAAGTTACAACCGACCCTTTAAGTGCAACCATAATGCGAATGTGGCCCGCGACGAAATTGAGTCGCTGGTCTAAACTATACTTGAACAAAGGAGGGGAAATGAAAACTAAAAGATGACTAAACAGAACTGAAAGCCACAGGACATATTGAAAGAAAAAAATGAAACAACAAAAGCAGAACAAAATGAGCCTCAGAAGAAATAAACGTAGACGACATACTGAATGAGAGGATGGAATAAAAGCAGAGGAAACAATAAACTGAATTATGAAGAAGAGAGGGGGATATGAAATCATCTATGAAACATTGGAGACGTCTGCAGGCCCTTGTGACTTGGGAAAATACCCGTCAAGAATATGCTCAAAGAGACCAGTGTCCTGAGTGCACACATGAAGAGGCACATGAGACTGTGTGTGTGTGTGTGTGTGTGTGTGTGTGTGTGTGTGTGTGTGTGTGTGTGTGTGTGTGTGTGTGTGTTTCGGTTTGTGTGTGTGTGGGTTGGTGTGTGTGTGTGTGTGTGTGTGTGTGTGTGTGTGTGTGTGCATATGAGAGAGTGCAAAAGAAAGAAAGGGATCTTACATCACTAGCGCTGAGACTGCCCAGCTCTCCGTCCTGTTCCGAGTCTCTGCTGGATTCACTGCCGCCTCTCAGAGAGGACGGGGTCGCCGCCTGTCCGCTGGGGCGAATCCAGATCTCCACGCGGGCTCCATCCTCCCCTCGCCCTCTTCCTTTAACTGCCGGGCCCCTGGAGCCTCCTTCGTGCTCCGGTCTCCTCCTTCGCTCAAGCTGCTCGATCTGCAGAAACAAAAATCTGTAAACAAGAAGCACTTGCGCTGCCTGCTTTTTTTTGGGCCCAAAAGGAGTACCATATGTTTCAAGTTAATTACTTCATTTTGAGTCTAACCTTGCGCTTGGCTTCTTCAAAGAGACTCATCAGGCTCTCCTTTGCAGTCAGGATGGGGTTGGAGACTGCCAAGCTGCGCATGTAATAATACACAGCATCCAACTTCCTGTTCTGTATGTGAGAGAGATGGGAAGAGAGTCAGAGGAGGGAGGGATCCTTCAGGAAGGACACATAGTTGGAGGGTGCGAGAGGACCATCACGTATTGTTCAATTATGCTTTAAGAAAGACACAGACGTAAGAAGCCTAATGTATTTGATTAAAGCAGCGAATAAGTGTTTGCCCAAATATTCAACATTTTCATTCCTTCTCAAACGACATCACTTACTGTATAAACGGCCAGCAGGGCCAGCTGGTTATATGGTCGTCCATTTTTGGGGGCGATCTGCTGGGCCTTCAGGTACCAGCTATACAGAAAATGGAGAGGTGTAGTCATGAGATGCCATCAAAGAAACGTTATGGAAGATTTAGCCTTTTAGAAATATTCTGCGTCCACTTTAAATCATAAGGTTCTCTTTTAAGCAAGTTTACAAAGCTGTCAGAGATAGAGATTTGTACAAAGTCTGTCCAAAATAATCAGGACTGAATACAATTTTACTTAATAATTCAATAGGTGTACAAAAATTGCCCCACGGCAAAAAACAACATAATCATAACCAACCAATGCACATCAAATGTTTAAAGCCATTACCTGCGAGCCTTGCCGTAGTTTGCCGAGTCACTGGCCTGTTCCCGGTAACGCGCTATATCGCCCTGACAAATCATGCAGCGCTGAGCACTGATAAGTGCATACTTCACCTGAAGAAGACAGAAACACATCAGAATTGTTTAACAATTGACGAGATGCAATGTTCAGTTTCACAATTCACAACTAGCAAGCAGCTTATTGTGCAATCACATAATGAGTCAAAAGAGTATAGCCGTACCGTTTTACGCAACGGCCGAGCCCTGATAGCTATCCCATCCATGTAATCCTGTAACTTAAACTGGTACACCGTCTGCAGCTTCTGTAGCAGCGCGTCGAAGAAAAGGGCCCCCTGGAAAGCAGACAGTGAACACAAGGATGTAAAAACTGTTTTGGATACAAATGTTTCAAATGCACTGTGTGTGTTGCATCTTCTAAATAATACAGTACTAGTTCTGGGTTTACTGATCTAGTTTCTACTAACAATACCCAATAAAGTGCCCAAAGACACTATTAGCATTTGTATTGACTTCTCTAGCAGGGTAATGAATCCTGCAAACAGGTGTTCAATGCAAGACACACACATCCAAACTGCCCCCCTTGCAATAACCTCTTCATTTCCCCCTGACTGATTCCCCCACATCATTCTTACCTCATCGAGCAGTGTGAGCAGCATGTTCTTTACATGAGGTGTGTTGTCATAGGCGGGGTCTTTGAGGAGCTGCCGGAAGCGCTCTATGACCTGGTAAAAGACATTCTTCCACAGAGCTTGATCCACGTTCTGCGAGTCAGAGTAGTCGATGTCTGTCAGGAGGACCTGCTCATAGAGCCCCAAAATGTCAGCTCTAGAAAAACAGGAGGGCAGATCAGGACAGTGCTCTTTCAATAAGTCGACTACTAATTATTAGGGACAATAACCTGAAAGCGTAACAAGTAAGCGAAAACTAAAATATAGAAAAATACACAGCTGTTACTCAAAATCCTCACCTGAGCTGGGCCATGCGCTCCAGTCCCTCAGCACTCACTCTGTCCCGGGACAGCAGGTTGCTGAGCTGAAGCTCCTGTGCGTCCGCAGCCCTCAGCATCCTCCCCAGCTCCACTCTGGCTTGTTGCTCCACCTCTTCCGATGTCAAACTACCTCCTGCAACAGGCTGGGGATACCCTGCTCCCTTGTAACTCCCACAGAATTGACCCACAGGGTACATACCATTAGCGGGAGCCATTTGGTAGGGTCCCATTTGATAAGGGTATGCATAGCTGGCGGTGCTGCCAGGACTGTGTGAGTTGCTGGCCGGCACGGGGTGGCCGTAAGGGTTGTCAGAGTTTTGGAATTTGTAAAAGGCCATGGCAGCGACCTGCTGGGCTCGAAAGTGATCACCCTGCGCCACCGGAGGACTTCCTGCCATCTCGTCGTCTGTGTCCAGGAAGTGAAGTTGACCAATTGCAGCCCCTGTCTGAAGATATACAGGCTGCTGGCGAGGTGAATGCTGCGAGGACTGGGTCGCGGTAAGAGCTGGCTTCTGGTCGGGGTTGTTTGGATCCCAGAGTCGCCTCGCTTCTCCTCCTCGGCCTCCTCTACTTCTGGCGGCTGCCCCTCCCCTGATACCACCAAAAAGAAGCCTCTGCCCGACCTCAGGAGAGTTAGAGATGTCTGTGCGAGCAGGAAGTATCAGGATACCCCCCCCTCTGCCCCGGGGAACCAAGCCTGGCGTGCGATGTTGTGGTACGGCAACATGTGATGGGGTACCTGGCAGTTTTTCTAGAGAGACCCTAAGGATTCCCCTATCTCCCCCTCTGGTCCCCTTTGGTTTGCTCCTCTCTACCCTCCGCCTCTCAGCACTTAGTTCTTCCCTTCCACCTCTTCTTTTCCTCTCTTCTGCTTTGTCACTCATCTCACTCCCTTCCATTGACTCTGTGGATGATTCCCCATTGGTTGTCCAGCTTTTTAAATGATTTCTCCGTCCCGCTCCGCTTGTAGCAACCCCCTCTTTGTGCTTAGGCTCAGAGTGAGGCCACTTGGTACGCTCCACATCCATCCTTACTCGAGGGCCATCCAGGCTGGTCACGCTGCTGGCTGAGCTGCTGCTGTAAGTGCGATTCCGTGAGCGGCGAATATCTGACTTGGAATAGCGCTTTGAGGTTGCCGTCGTGCCGTTTGCATTGGATTTGTTTCTATCGCCTCCTTCCACTGCCCTGTCTGTGTTTCTTTCTGTTTTAGCATCGTTTTCAGCATCTCTTGAGCGGTTGTTGTTGTTGTTGTCTCCTCTTTTGCTTTCTCTGCGATTCTCTCTTCCTTTGCTTTGGTGCGGCTCTCCTGCTTTATTATCCTTGTCTGCGTCTGGTGCTCTCTTGTCTCTTTCCTTCTCAGCTTTCCCCCCCCGGTCAACCTTTCCTCGACTGCCTGCTTCCTCTTTCCCTCGTCTGGAATCTGGATTAGTCTCCCTTTCCTTATCTTCTCCCCTTCGGTTGCGGTTTCCTTTCTCCCTTTTCATTTCTACCTTTTCCTCCTCCTCTTTTGTTCCTCTACCTTGGCCTCTCTTTTCCTTGGAAGATGTTTCTCCTCTCTCGCAACTTAACTCGTCAATGACTTGGCTGTCACATCCCACCTTTTCTTTCATGCTAAGTTTGTCAATTTTGCTAGTAATTTTGTCCACCGTAGCGTTTGAGGGTAATGTGTTTTTTCCCACATCTCGGCCTCCTTGCTTTCGGTTTGTTTCAGTGGATTTAGGCAATTTGATGTTATCCGGTTTAACCGTTACTTCTTTATTTCCCCCTTCCTGCTCCTGTAAACAAGTTTTTTGGTTCTCCTCTTTTTCTCCTGTACTTATCTGGGACTCTGGCTCACTTTTCTGCCCGTTATTGCTAGGTGGAGGCTTATCCTGCTCTTTTCCAACTCCACAGTCTTTTCCCTGGATGCTTCTTCGGCTCCCGGGTTGATACAATTCTCGGTCTGGTTTTCGAGCTTTTCGTGTTGCCCTAGCAGCTCCAACGGGTTCCTGGTGGTCTTTGTCATCTTCAACAGAAACTTTCTCTTGATTTGCTTCTGCTTTAGGCTGGGAGCTGTTGCCTTTTCTACAGTTCTGAGTGTTACTACCATCCCCTCTCTTCCTGTCTTCTTCCCTTTTGTCGGTGACCGCCCCACTGTCTGTGCACCCATGTCTCTCTAAAGCTTTTTCAACCTTTTTCTCACTCTGTGGTGGTTCATCATGGGAATCAGCGGACAGAGGGCCACTAGTTTCTCCCTCCTCATCGTCACGGTGACACCTTCCATTTCCAGCTACTGGCTGGTAGCGCTGCAGTTCAGGGCGAGGGTGCTTTCCTTCCCGCTTCCTTTGCTGCTTGTGTACGTGATACTCTTGTTGCTCCTCTACAGAAGAAAAAAACACAGAAAAAAAGTAGTGTGAGTATGGGTATTAAAATATAAAGTTGATATATTTTTGTATTTTGTCAACAAATCCTGTGGGGGAAAGCACTTTCAGTTTAGTTAAAAAAAACAGCAGTACACTTTTTTGATGTTTGTTAGCACCTTACCTAAGACACAATTATATCATTATGTTATTAGAATAACGTTTTTGTTTAGTTTTTTAACCTTAAATATTGTAGTGACACAATATCCCCACCAATTTAACATCGAATTTATTAAACATGATGAACTGTTTTCTTTTCACAGCGTTTTATCAACAGAAAATACCATACAAAAATACCAGAAAGCATTCCCTGGGTGGACAAGTGAAAAAAGTGGACATGGGAAATGCATAGTAACAAATAAACGTACCTCAACATTAGAAACAAATATCACTGTTTTAACTATTAGGTTTACAAATACAACTTTCGTTCGCTTTTTCGAAAAAACGTAACAGTAATGATTGGATGACGTCAGCTAAATCCCTAACGTTTAAAAAACAGAATAGTTGAGCTTTATCTGTGGTTTCGCCATTTAACGTTTATGTTACATTCAAATATTACCGTAACATCCCTTTGACTAGTGTTCTTAAAGTATACATTGTTTAATGTAAAATCAGTACGAAGAAATAAAAGAAACGTGGTTAAATCGTGACAACAGTCGCACATAAATTATCCGATGTTGGAGGGGGCGTTTAAAACGGACCAAAGAACGGAGAGGCATACAGCTAGCTAGCTAACAACATTAGCTGGTTACAAACTTAGCAACTCCGTAGGCTACTTCCAGCTAACTCGGGATACTTTTTCGGTTAAATCTATCGACTTTTTCAGGAGTGTGTTCCTTCAAAGTATCAAGTTCACTGCCTCTCACCTTTCTGACAGTCATCAATATTGATTGAATTCGACGCTTCAGCTCGGAGTTCCGCAGCTGAGATTCGCACTCTGTCCAGTTCGTTCGCCATCTTTGCTTTCACTGAAACAAAAACACAACAAGTACGGTGGCCCCGCCAGGCCAAACAGATCCACCAGGTGACGTTGCAGCCAAGGGCTGCTGGGTAATGTAGTACTTTGGATCGCGCGTACTGTTTATGGATAATTTTCTGTAATCTGTATATACAAATCAAGGATTTAATTGTTTACCATTACTAATAAGATCATTAAATGTCAATTCAATTCAATTTGCTTCATGTTCATTTTTTTCAACGGAAATCCTTTAACATATAGATATTTTTTCCACCAAATCTCTTTATGCAACTTATTTGAGAAAATTGTGGTTAGTGATTGTGAATCTTGGGTTTTAATCTTGCACAAGGCTTATTTGGTTGTATTGTAGCAGTTCTTATTGCTTGCCCTAATAGCATCATATTCAAGTCTATAAGTTTGAATAAATTGTTTTGTTGAAATTTGACAATATACGTTAGTTATGTAATTGTTACGTATGCCTTGACCTACATGAGGACCGAGGGAAGGGGGCTTAAATGTCTTATATAAAGAAACAGACAGATATCCTACATACAAATACACCCTCAATTTCACACAGAGCCACTAGATGTCAGGATTGATTACTAATCTCTTTTTTACAGTAGGTAAACTATAACTCTCTGTATTGGCCCAGCAACAAACTTGCTCCCAATTTATTTTCCATCGAAGTTATGTATATGACTGAACTGCAACATATCCACGTTATCACATCTCCTCTCATCTTCTACACATGACTTGGATGTCAACTGACACATTTAATGAGAAAGGGAATTGCGGGGACTGCAGAAAAAAATGACAGAAATATACAGAACGACTCAGTAGTGTGTTCGTGTGTGTGTGTGTGTGTGTGTGTGTGTGTGTGTGTGTGTGTGTGTGTGTGTGTGTGTGTGTGTGTGTGTGTGTGTGTGTGTGTGTGTGTGTGCGCATATGAGGGGGCTGCGTGGAGAGTTCAGGCAGACATCATCGGTGTGGCTGATGCTAGAGTAAACACCTTCATTTCCCTAGCAACACAAAATTAAAGGGGCAGAGTCTTGTGTCCTTCGTATAAATCTCCAACAAATGATTCTTCTTCCAGAGCCAAACCTCCTCTTTTTCCTTACACATCGGTTCACTAAATTATTCATCCAAGGTGCTGGATGGCTCACTTCTTTGGCATAATCAGATATGTCTACAGTGTGTGTGGATTACTTGTTACAGTAATAGAAGTTACTTCCTTCTAACTTGCACAATACACAAATCACAAAGCAGGCAGGCAACCGAGAAAGTTAAATGTGGCTATTCAGATAATTGTACAATCTATTAAATTGTAAACATATTTGGTTTTGTATTGTCTCATTTTATTGCTGTTGTCTATTACTTGAATTTCATATTTTATGTAAAACACTTGCCATATAAACTTATACCAAGATGGCATGTTGTTCATAATTATCATCAATAATTAAATTATTACCGATATTAACCTCTTATTCCAATCATTAACTCTTTCTCTGTATTTCCATTTATACATGTTATCGGATTGTTATTATGAAGCCAAATTGTGTTTAAAACTTTAAATGCAGTGTACTGTTTTGATGTAGTGCCAGCAGTGTCTCTTGATGAAGCACTGGCACACCAGGGGTTGTAGAATATTTCGTGTCTGCAGTGGAGAGGTGTGAGAGAAAGAGAGAGGGAGGGAGGGAGGGGGGCTGCCGGAAGTGGTGGGTGTGTGTCACCCTGTGTGTGCGTAATTCTGTAAATCTGTAAGTGTGTGTGTGTGTGTGTGTGTGTGTGTGTGTGTGTGTGTGTGTGTGTGTGTGTGTGTGTGTGTGTGTGTGTGTGTGTGTGTGTGTGGTGTGTGTGTGTGTGCCTCGGTGTATGTGTGTAGAGTTCTGATTGTCAGTGCTGCACCACAGGGCAGGTGGAGCAATGCAGGATGATAAGAGACACAGAAGGACAGAGAGGGGGAGGCAGAGAGGTAGTTAGGAAGGGAGACAGAGAGAAAGAGGAAGTGAGGGAGAGAGGTGAGGAAGCAAGGGAGAGAGGTGAGGAAGCATGATGCAGGGGGAGAGAAGAGGAGGAGGAGAGACTGTGAATACAGATGAGGAAAGCGGGGGAAGCAGGGACTTTCTGCAGGTGAATTTCTGACACCAGGGGGTTTCTCCAGCCCAATCATATCTCCATGTCTCCGGCCCCCATCTCATCTCCTCTTGTTCCCTCTCTGTCTCTCCCTGGCTCCCCCCACGGGGACACTAGGAGGTGGGAGGAGATTACTTTTAGAGATGACTGGAGTGGAGGAGGAGGAGGACAGATGGGGGAATACAGTCAGCAGAGATAGGTGGGACATTGTGGATGAGGATGGAGCAGAATTAAATAGCTGGGGTTCTCAAATAAAAGACAATGAAAATGGTAGGGAGATAAAAGTGAGATGACTGAAATGGGATCCACATAACAAGTGGTGAGACAGACAGAGAAGAAAGGAGGCGTGAGTGTAGGAGAGACAGACATAAAGACAGAGAAAGACAGACTGAGGCCAGAGGCTTGTGTGACGCATATTTGCTGGCACTAGATGTTTGGAGTATATCAATTTCAAATGGTTTTTAATGTATAATTCACAAAAAGAGAAGGGGGAGTGACATGGGAGCATCGAACAAAAAGACTATGTGGAGTGATGTGTCAGTGAAGAGGAGCCAAACAGAAACAGAGGAAGAAGGCACAATGTAACAGATTGCAGCAGTGAAGAAGAAGATATTAACTGCCCTCATTAAATAAAAGTTATATTAAAGACCATTTTTAAAGACCAAAACTATATGACCACTCATTAATTATTATATTGCTCACTAACATCATCACTGAATATCTTAAGTAGCTTCAGGGTTATTTGAACCATCTGTTTTACACTGTCTGACACTAACACATTCAGTTAATTGTTTAGACAAACTTGTTCCAAATGTTAATTGATATTTAATAAAGTGTTTAAACCCTGAATGTTTTAAATGAATCCTTTGTTTAATCAAATATGAATGTCCTGTATTTCTTGTGCTGCGAATTCAGCCAGTATCGCAAAGTACTTGGTATCTTTTTACATTTTCGGTTTGGACCCTCGCTATAAAGTTCTGAGCATCTGAACAAACTTTACTCCAAGAATGGTGCGTTCAAGCGTAGCCTCCACTGATATGGGGCCAAATTCTTAAACCAGTTAGACGGGCCTTTGTGAGAGGGGCTACATGCTTTAACTGAGTGTTTTTAATATGGGAGACGAGGCTTGGAACACAGTGAAATGAAAGTGATTGCACAGCACGAGTCTGTAATGACTGGCCCACAGTGAGCAGTAGTGAGCTGTATTTTCTTATAGCTGAATTCACACAGACACACATGGAGATTCCTGCTTCTTTTTAAATGGGAAATGTATAAACAGTTGACACAATATTAGGACATGGTGTAGACTATGACACATGAACATAGACACACATGCTACTGAAAATATTCCTGGGGATGTGCAATGAAAAACGGTCCTCATACTGAACTCAAAAAGAGGAACCCTCTAACACACACACACACTGTGTGTGTGTGTGTGTGTGTGTGTGTGTGTGTGTGTGTGTGTGTGTGTGTGTGTGTGTGTGTGTGCGTGTGTGCGTGCGTGTGTGTGTTTCGGTTTGTGTGTGTGTGTGAAAGAAAACTCACAAACAGAGAGACATGCTCTTCTTCGTCATAGTGCAGTTTTGTTTTCAGTGAGAGAGAAACTCCGTTTTTAAAGTCAGTTTTATATTTCCTGTCTGTCCCTGAGCCGGAGCTTGGCAGACGAAACTGTAATGAAAATACTAACAAGAGGACATAAATCATTTCTACGTCTGGGTTTTCATCCACACGTTTACTCATCTACAGTTCACTTTTAAGGCCCATGTACTTTCCATCTTATTCCTCCATGTACTTATAGTTCCCAGACATTTCATCAGGATATGTTGCACCCTTTACTTCACTCAAATCTTCACTTATTGCATTACAAATGTATCTTTTGCGGTTTGAATTTCAAGAGACAATGCATTTTGTTTGGTAAAAAGAGATGTTAAAGGTTTGAAATAAACTTTGTATTATAGCAGGATGTTTTAATAACATTATCTTATCTGACCTGTGTTCTTCGCTCTGAGAACAGTGAGAGTGACGTGCTGTTTGACAGAGAAAGGCCTGGAGGCGGATCACACACCCTGAGCTTCATCTAATAGGAATATAATAGGAACAGCATGGCAGAGTGGAGTAAAAGAAAGAACAGAGTAAACTTATAGCCAACAAACGCTCACTAAATGTACAGGACTCGGACACAGTCAGACGGATGCTTGAATGCCATGTCACATAAATCTGGTGATAAGATACCTGCCTTTACAATCTGAGAGTTTCACATAGATTGAAGGCGTGTCTAAGTCTTTCTGGGAAACAAGCTATCGGTGCATGACGAGGTACATGAAAACCTGCTGACTCTTCTTTCTTAAATCTGTCTTTCTTTGTTTCAGCCACAGTCCCCCCCCCCCACCTGTTTCTCGGACCTTGACGTCCTGCTGTCTCTCCTCTCCAGCTTTGCATGATGGGATGTTTGCGCAGCTTGCTTTATTCCTGAGAAGAGAGGAGAGTTTCCACGAGCTGCTCAACTTCTCACACCGTTTCTTTTTTTATGGTCATTGGTTTCCTTCACAGGTGAAAGTCCAGGCAGTCTGACACGATGATGACTTCAGTTTGCAAGGCTTTTAAACCCTCAGACATTTAATGAAGAGACATTGCTGTTTTCATGCAAAGTAACATGGTGAAGTGATAAAGAGTGACTTTGATCTTTCAACAAGGGTTACATTTTTTATTTAACTGCAAATTCATCTTTCAAGACAGTTTTTATTGGTTTTTCGAAACCCCTGTTCATATGCTGTTTTTTTTTTAGGCTGCTCCAATTGATGTCATATGTTTGAGCTTCCAACTTTGCGACAACAGCTTGTGGAAGATTGTTTGCCACATGCGGCCGTAATATTTGAGATTCCAC